TTCCCAAGAGGACACTTGTCTCCTTCCAGAATGGGTTAATCCAAATAAAATCTGTGCAGGTCACGCCAAGGTCCACCTCCCATTGTGACCGCTGACTACTTACAGTAAAGGAAGCATCTAAGAATGTAGTAATGCTGAGAGAAAAAATAGAAAGTGATTAACACAGCAATAAAAGCCCGACTGTTGCGAAGCGGAAAAGATTCTAGAAGTGAATGTTTAAGGAAATGATTCACGGGGATATTTTCAGCTCATAAGAGTTTCAGAGACTTCATTCAAGTTGACTTTTGCCGCAAGGGATGGTTGGCTGAAACCAAGTTTGGGAGTTAGCAATAAGCATCCAACATCAACCTGAGAAAAACGTGGCTTGACAAAGCAGGATGACAAAGCAGAACGACAACCCCCCCTTTTTAATTTTTATACATTGATCTTTGATTCGCAGAAAAGGGGAGGAATTTTAAAAAATATTAATGCAACAGCCGGTCCTGCTTAGTTTATTAGCTACAGTACATAACTGGAATTGGGTCTGTCTAGATTAGTGAAAAGAAGGAACTAGGGGGGACAAGATAGCAGTGTTCAAATATTTGATGGGCTGCTACAAAGAGGAGGTCAACCTCTTCTCCAAAGCACCTGAAGGCAGGACAAGAAGCAATGGATGGAAACTCATCAAGGAGAGAAGCAACCTGGAACTAAGGAGGAATTTCCTGACAGTGAGGACAATTAACCAGTGGAACGACCTGCCTCCAGAAGTCATGGGTGCTCCATCACTGGAGGCTTTTAAGAAGATATTGGACAGCTATTTGTCTTCTGTTTGAGCAGGGGATTGGACTAGAAGACCTCAAGGTTACTTTCAACTCTATTATTTTGTCATTCTGTTATTCTGGCTTCCCTTCCCCGCTTTACGCAGAGTTTTCTGTCTCAACTGAGCTTCTTGGAATGATCCTGCATCCATGCAATGCTGCCTGGTTATTCCAGGAAGTGCTGCTCTCTTTCCTATATGTGAAGTAAGGCACTCTTGGGCTCTGGGATCAACAGACTTAATGATACGAAGAATAAGAAGAATAAGAATAAGAATAAGAAGGAAGAAGAAGAAGAAGAAGAAGAAGAAGAAGAAGAAGAAGAAGAAGAAGAAGAAGAAGAAGAAGAAGAAGAAGAAGAAGAAGAAGAAGAAGAAGAAGAAGAAGAAGAAGAAGAAGAAGAAGAAGAAGAAGAAGAAGAAGAAGAAGAAGTCGTAGTAGTCTGGATAGTGGACGTTGTAGTGCCTGGAGACAGCAGAATAGACGAGAAAGAACTGGAGAAGATAACAAAATACAAAGACCTACAAATAGAAATAGAAAGACTGTGGCAAAAGCAAGCAAGGGTAGTACCAATAGTAATAGGTTCCTTGGGTGCATTCCCAAAACAACTGGAGCACCACTTGAACACCATTGGCATTGACAAATTCGCTATTAGTCAATTGCAAAAGGTGGCCTTACTAGGAACTGCTTCCATCCTGCGACGATATCTGTAATACCTTCAAACATCCACATCTGGCTATCCCAGGTCCTGGGTAAGGACTCGATAGGTAGACAAAATGCCAAATCCAGTCTGAACATCTGGCTGACTATGCGATGATCAATAATAATAATAATAATAAAGTTGGAAGGGACCTTGGAGGTCTTCTAGTCCAACCCCCTGCTCTGGCAGGAAACCCTATACCATTTCAGACAAATGGCTGTCCAGTCTCTTCTTAAAAACTTCCAGTGTTGGAGCATTCACTGCTTCTGGAGGCAGGTTATTCCATTGGTTAATCGTTCCACTTGTGCTTTAGTCCCAAAGACTAGGAGATCTATTTCCCTCTTTCTGCTGATTTTGGGGAATGCAGATCCTCAAAAGCCAAAAAGGAAACGCTTGGTTCTCAAAAATTCATACAGCTCTGGGATGAAGCCTTGACAGGATAAGCTATCTATGAAACAAGCTTTCAACAAATGAAACTATGAGCCCACAGGCCCCGTCATTGTTGGCTGATCAGCAGCATGATCTCAAGAGCAGCCTTTTCCCATCCTTTGCCCTTTTGAGAAGTTGGAAGCCTTGCAAAACAGTTTGGTGGCCTGTCTGCCTATGACGAAGCCTCTCCTAAAGGCTTTGCTATTTCCGAAAGAAGCAGATGTTTGCAGCTACAGCCAGGTCTTCAGTTAATACAACACACTTTGCCCCCATCTGGGAGAAGCCAGCACAAGTTCCAGGCCAAAATCTAGCTCTTTGGGCCGTGAAACTTCACCCCCCTCCCTCCTCCTTCTTTCCTCATACATCTGAGGGGACATTTAGGCCTTCCCATCTGTTTTAGCCATGTTCCCAAGCCTCCACCTTGAGAGAGGACATGTAGGCAAGCTTCTAGCCGATCCCTGGGGGCAGAACCACTAATCTGAACGCCTGGTGTCAGCAGGAGGGAACACCCGGGCTTGCTTCTGAACACAGGTTGGGGGAAGGAAGAACAGTTGCAGATGATCTGGTAGGAAAAGCCACCGAATGTTAAAAGCAGAACCAGGCAGGCCAAACAGCTGCAGGAATGCAGAGCAAACAACCCATTTCTCCAGATGTGACTTCAAGCTGCCTTCCTCGTCGCCACCTGCTGAAGTTCTCTTCCCTCCGCCTTCACACAAAAGCATCCACCTACATAGCTGGAGGGTTACGCTAGCTGGGATTGTTCCGTAACAGATATCTTGACATCCTGGGTAGCAGAAGGAGGATACAATGACTGGAACATCCAAAATGCAACCTCAGGGTGATTCAGGGTATCCTGAACAATCTTGGGCCATCAGATCATGTCCTGTCATCAAGCCGTTGAGCAGCTCGGCACAATGAGAAGTGGGGATGAAACGTCCTCAAAGCAAAGCGGAATGTATTTCTGTATTTCTGATCTTCACAATGGCAGTCTAAAGTTTCAGCCGTATATTTGGGGTTTATGACCACGGGTCTCCAAATACATCTTTGCTTTGGGTTGTTGCTTTTTTTTTAAAAAAAAAAAAAAAAATTAATCTAACAATAAAAGCATGGTCTTGAATACAGTGACACCAGGTGGCAGAGAGTGAAATGGTCATTCTTGTGGGGACGCATCGAACTTCGTCTCCCCCCCCCCCAGAACTGCCTGGAGAAGGAAGGACCACCTGCTATGAAGGGATGGACCAGGAAGGAGAACGAGAAAACAAAATGGTTGGCTTCGTCTATCATGGTTGGGCTGATGGTGTCCGGCAAGCCAGCTATTATGGTTGATGAAAAAATGTGTCAGTGAAACCATGACGTCAATGGATATGTGAACTCAGTCTTTGAAGCTTGATAAATATGGTTTTATGGCTCAGCCATAAAAGGACACAAGGACGGTAAATTCCATCTCAGCCACACTTCCAAGTTGGTCAAAACTGGAAGCCATTTCAAAATGGGCTTTACCACATTTTCTGTTATGAAAATGTCTAGTCTAGTGAAAAAAAAGGACTGGGGTGACATGATAACAGTCTTCCAATATCTCAGGGGCTGCCCCAAAGAAGAGGGGCGTCAACCTATTCTCCAAAGTACCTGAAGGCAGGACAAGAAGCAACGGATGGAAACTAATCAAGGAGAGAACTGCCTAAGGAGAAATTTCCCAACAGTGAGAACAACTAACCAGAGGAACGACTTCCCTCCAGAAGTTGTGAATGCTCCAACACTGGAAGTTTTTAAGAAGAGATTGGACAACCATTTGTCTGAAACGGTGTAGGGTTACCTGCCTGAGCAGGGGGTTGGACTAGATGACCTCCAAGCGTCCGAATTTTGATCATGTGGCCACCGGGATGCTGCAAAAGATTGTTAAGTGTGAAAAATGGGTCGTAAGACCCCTTTTTCCTATGTTGCTGTAACTTCAAACGATTACGAAAAGAAATGGTGGTAAATCAAGAACTACCTCTGCAATATTCCCGTCCCTCCCAAGACACAGACATGTTTCTATAACATGACAAATCCGGAATTACTAAATGCTTAAAATATTCTATTACCGCCCTTCTCTGTTCTGCAAGGGCAGCTGAAAGACCCTAATGGACTGCTCCAGCTGTTGTAGCCAATTCAAAGGCCACCTTTGTTTCTGGAAACCTTAGAAACTGTTAGTTTATTGTAAGGATGAGACTTAACCAGCTGTTTCACACAATTTGGGTCAAAAAAAAAAAAAAATGAAGGCAACCATGTTCTTCCAGAATAAATCCACTAATATGAACTGGCAGCTGGATCAACTGGACTGAGGACCTAACATGGAAAACAGTGAAAAGAACAATCTACCAGCGTGGAAAATTAAGCAGGATTTGCACCGAAATTCTAGCTCTTTCGGTGTTTATCACATAGACCTCTGCTAGGGATTTGAACAAAGGATCAAATATGTCGTTTCATTACTAGTCTTTCAGCTGGGAGGCCACGAAGGTTTCCAAATGTGGAGAAATGTTTGCCTGCCATGTTTATCTGGGTAAAAATGTGCTGCCCTTTAAAAAAAAATAACAAAGCACAATTTTTAGAAAGTTTTGGACGAGAGAGAACAATGGAGAGGTGAAGCACAGGATCAAATGTTTGATACAGAGAGAAAATATTATCGGGGAGGGTGGAGAGGTTTTATGCAAGCCATGTTTTGGCTGAAAGCCGATCTGGATATTCAACACCCATGGTCAGTCCTAGAACGGAGTGGGGTTTGCGGAGAGGAGGAGGAGGAGGAGGAGAAATGCTGATGGGGAGGAGGGGGAAGAGGAAGGAGGAGGAGAAGATGAAGGAGAGAAGGTGCAGAAGGAGGAGGAGGAGGAGGAGGAGGGGGAGGAAGAAGAGAAATGCTGATGGGGGAGAAGGAGAAGGAGAAGGAGGAGAGGAAAGAGGAGGAGGAGGAGAGGAAGGAGAGAAGGTGCAGGAGGAGGAGGACTGTGGGGTCCTTAGTACTTTCCGAGCTTGGTTGCTTTCTTGCAGATGTTTCATTACCAAACTAGGCCATCAGACTAACATCCTTGATTCCATCGTACCTTCTCTCATTGTCATCAAGGTGAGCGAAGAGGACATTCTTGGAGATGGCCTTGGCTAAGGCTGTCATAGTCTTATAGTCCTTTGGAATAACCTGGAATGGAAAAGGAGCATCAGAAGGGAGAGTTAGTAGAGTGAGCAGAACCCCAGATGATTACTAAGAGATCAGCCAGGGCTCCTGTGCTAATCATTGTAGAAGGAGGGCCATGTTCACCTAGGGCAGCCAGAAATCAAAAGGACTCTTCGTCTTTTCTGACTAAGACACTTTATTCAGAGTTTTGGATTTAGACTAATTAAACAAAAGCAGTCACAAAGCAACTCCATCATTCCAGAAGTGGCTTTGAGAGAGGCTGTGGGAATTATGAAATTGCTTAATCCAAAATAAAAGCCAACGGTGCTTCGAGCATCAAACATTGTCTAGAAAATGCTGAATTAACTTATCAGGATTTCTTTCTACCTGAATTAAATCAACGGGTCAGGCCAGAAGCAAATCAGAATTATCTTGTAAAAGGCGTCTAATGGGAATGTTGTTTTTTTTAAAGGCTGAATAGCAAATAATTCAGCATCTGGCAGAACTTTATAAAATATTATTTCTTCAAATGCATCTTGAGCAGCAGGACACATTAATTATTGAACTTGGTTCTGAATGTTGGGCGGTTGCCAGGTTTAACTTCGCTGAAATGCTGGGACGGAATATAGATTTGATTTGATTTGATATTAAGAATCAGGAATAAACATCACAGAGTCATTTTTTTGGATCTGACCAAGCTTTCTTGGGGCAGGCGTTCTGAAGAAAATTGATACAAATCTCAGCCCACTCCTTAAAGGCTAAGGGGGGGGGGTGCTCATTCCGTAATAAAATTCTGCTTTCCTAGAAGCCTGTCTTTTGAGGTATGAATGTGCCTTTGAGGCAATTCTGAATTCCTGGAGAAGACCCTGCAGTTTTCTTGGCAAGGTTTTTCAGGAGCAGCTTGCCATTGCCTCCTTTTTAGGACAGAGAGGGAAGGACTGGCTCAAGGTCATCCAGCTGACTTTATGCCTAAAGAGGGACTAGAACTCGCCATCTCCTAGTGACTGACTCAAAGTCACCCAGTGGCTTTCCTGCCTAAGGCAGAACTAAAATTCACCATCTCCTGGTGCTTGGCCCAAAGTCACCCAGTGGCTTTCCTGCCTAAGGCAGAACTAGAATTCACCGTCTCCTGGTGATTGGCCCAAAGTCACCCAGTGGTTTTCCTGCCTAAGGCAGAACTAGAACTTGCATCTCCTGCTTTCTAGACCAGCACTTTAATACTACACCCAGTTAGTTTTGGATGTCTCCTAAAACACAATTTCCATTCGTCATTTACTGTATAGCAACCATCCCCGCATAATAACATTACCTTCCGGACATAAGACACTGCATCTTCTTCGGTGTAGACCTCAGCACTGACCCCTCCCCGTCGATGCCGGGCTTTGACCACCGGAATGGGTGGTGGAGGAGAAACTTCATCATCGTGAGAATCTGACTGGGAGCTGGATTTCTGCCAAGCCTGGATCTGTTTGTTTTCTTCCTGTGAAGAGGAAAGGAAGCTGGATAGATTTCCCTACTTCTACTAGAGCCATAGAATTTCCGCAGGCAGTCCTCAACGTACGACCACAATCGGGAACCAGAATTTCCCACAGCTCCGCAAGGCAGCTAAGGGAGTCGTGCCCAATGTTATGACTAGTTTGTCCACGGTTGTTAAGAGAATCACAGTGAATCGCCTGGTCGTTAAGCAAACCCGGTTCTCCCCTCCCCCGTTGACTTTGCCTACAAATGGTAATCACACGGTCCAGGGGCACAGCAACCACTGTAAATAACACGCCAGTTGCCAAGCACCCAAATGTTGATCACGTGACCCTGGGAATGCTGCCATCCATCATCCCGAAGTGCAAGGACCAATCGCAAGCCACTTTTTCAATGCCATTGTAACCTCTATCACTTGATAAACAAATAGTTGTGAGTCATCGTCCCGCCTCTGGTGTCCATTTCCAATTCTTCTGAAACAAAGCTTAAGTCAAGTCAATCTTTGCCTATCCTAGAACTGAGCTGGAGCAAATGAGAGCAAGGCATTTCCGTTGCCCAAAAATCCAATGAAGGGGCTGTAAAAAAATTTTTTTAAACAGCCCCTGAATTCTTATCTAGTTAAGTTTCTACAGGGAAGGACCCGGATTGGACCTCCCGGGGAGTCTCTTTCAGTTGCAAACTCCGAAAACAGTTTAGATATATAAGTCTCTCTGTGTGTGTGTGTGTGTGTGTGTGTGTGTGTAGCTGTCCCATGAATACCAAACCACTGCAGAACAATAAATGGGGAGATATTTGTCCGTCCATCCATCCATCCATCCATCCATCCATCCATCCATCCATGCATCCTTCTATCCCACCACCTGCCATTTTGCTTTTCACGGTTTTTTTTGAGGGGCTGTCATAGAGATGAGCAGGTTGACTTATTCTCCTGAGCACTAGAGAGTAGGACAAGAAATAATGGGTGGAAGCCTGTTAAGGAGCCACCCAACCTAGAAGCAAGGAGAAATTGTCTGACAGAGAGAACAATTAAGAACAACTTGCTTGCCTCCCAGGATTGCAAGTGCTCTATCACGGGGCATTTTCCAGAATAGATTGGACTACCATTTGACCAGGATGGTATAAGTTCTCCTGCCTTGAGAGAAGGTTAGACTAGAAGACCTCTGAGACCTGAAATAGATTGGGCAACCATTTGACCAGGATGGGATAGGTTCTCCTGCCTTGAGTGAAGCGTTGGACTAGAAGATCTCTGAGGTCCCCTTCCAGCCCCAGCATTCTATGTTCAATGTTCTTCCCACACCATCATTCTATGAGTTTACAATTCACTTCTGGGAATTATGGGCAACCCATAAGAAGCCAGAGAAAAAGAGACGGAAAAGAAAGCCATCACGCCAGGCTCCCAACAAGAAAGTCAGCTCAAACTGTCCCCATGGAAGCCCTAAAGACCTTCTCAAAGCCTCCAAAACTGAAGTCAAAAACCATGAGCCTCTGGCACAACAGAAGAAAACTTGTGAGGAACACCAATTTCAGCACATCGTTCTTATGGATCCACCAATGACAGCTTCGCATGCTCAGGCACACACAACTCTCCAGGAAGTATAGGAACGGTTGCTAGAATTTGGTATGTCTAGTTTAACGAAGAGAAGGACAAGGGGGGACATGATAGCAGTATTCCAATATCTCAGGGGCTGCCATAAAGAAAAGGGAATCAAGCTATTTTCCAAAGCGCCTGAAGACAGGACAAGAAGCAATGGCTGGAAACTAATCAAGGAGAGAAGCAACCTAGAACTATGGAGAAACTTCCTGACAGTGAGAACAATTAACCAGTGGAACAACCTGCCTCCAGAAGCGGTAAATGCTCCAACACTGGAAGTTTTTAAGAAGAGAGTGGATAGCCATTTGTCCGAAATGGTGTAGGGTTTCCTACCTGAGCAGGGGGTTGAACTAGATGACCTCCAAGGTCCCTTCCAACTTTGCTATTATTATTATTATTAAGTCCAGGGGTGTGACACCACAGCATCACTTTTGAGGAAGCCACGGGGATAAAGGAAAGCCATACCTTTGTCATTGCAGTTAAGGACCGCTGACCCGCCACATCGACCATGTTTCCAGAAACCACAGCCGAGAAAACCTCCGGCCTGCCTGATTTGCCCCCAGGAAGGGCCTTGCCCATCCCAATTCTGTGCAACTGCCAAATGGCAACACACCTCCTCAGTCTTCAAAACCCCCTCTTCTCCCCACCCTCTCAAGGCAGCTCCGTCATCGGAAGGACGGGACAGTTGGGATTCAGCTGGCTTGGGTCCATGATCCAGAAATGCAGAAGGTTTTACCAGCTCCCTGAAGCTGAGAAACCACATTATTGCAAGGGGGGGAAAAAAATCTCTCCGTTCTGCATAGGAGGTTTTCCCGGTGGAAAAATACTGCAGAGTTAACATCCGGCCTTCTAATATTTGGAAAGACCCGTGTCATAGGTACGTTGACCTCAAATTTTGAACCCTTCCCTGCAAATTTTGAACCCTTCCCTGCACGCAACTGAAGGTGCCTTGTAAAAACTGTCACGGACTCTCCTTATTTTTGCTCACATCCTTCCCTCCACTGATGATTAGCTAGCTACTCAGTATCCCCAGCTCCTACCCCCCCTTTGATTCAAAACACACTTTGCAAGGTCCTCCCTCGATAACAAGCATCATCGTTGAAATGGATGAGCTTAAACCTCGATCCCTCTAAGGGAACCGTCAGACTTGAAAAGCTGGAAATAAAATATTCAAACCGACGGGGGGGGGGAATCAATGGCTCTTACAAGGTATGGGGTGAAATAGCAGAAGGAGGCATCCTTCAGAAGGAGAGGAGAAAAGTTCTAGAAGCTGCACCAGGATTAACCCTTAGCTGGGTCTTCAACCTCCACCCCGCTTCAGATAGGAAACAGAAAACAAGTCACCATATAGTTCTCTTCCGCCCGTCTCGTCTCTTTATAAGAGCATCTCTGATACACAACTCCGCTGTCAGCTGGTGCAAATAAGAGACAGGCTAGCATTTCTATGCATTGCTAATTTACTGCTAGGCATACAAGCTCCTCTCTCGAATGTCGGAAGCCCACAAGTCTCAAGGACCAGGACCCACAGCTAAACTTGTCAAAAGAAAAACAAAAGGCACATTCCATAGAACAGGGACTTTAAACACACACATACACCCCCAAGCCCTTTGCCAGGGATACACACACACACACATTCATCCTCACCCCTAAATTCCTGTACCGGATCTCGGGACAGGAATAATGAATAAATCTTTCCCTTTGAAAGACCGCTTCTCAAAAGTGGATTCTTGGCAATCTTTCCAGAAAATTCCCTGTCGATGGAACGTCGTCCATCCTTCACACATACACACACACACACACACACACAAACAGAGAAAGAGAGAGAGAGGGAGGGAGGGAGGGAGAGGGAGAGAGACTCACACACAGTTGCCATGACAGCCCACGTCTCTGCGGGAATGAATGACATCTGTCATTCACAAGTACAGCTATGATGGGGGATGAACTTCCATTTCTTGAACATGTTGGACCAACCCAAAGCCTGTTGGGTGCCAAAAGGGCCTTGCTTGAGATTCAGCCTAGATTGAAGTCCTACAGCAGGCTCAACCATCCCATCATCCTAGTAAGCAAACATTGACAATTCTGATAACACCAGAGAGAGTGGAGGCCAAACAGGGTGGAAGAGAGACTTCAATCGTAGCCTGAGGACCAGTTTTCACACTTACGTTGAAGCGTCTCCTTGGTCGCATGATCAAAATTTGGCAAATAGCATGTATTTAAGACGGTCTCAGCGTCCCGGGGGTCATGTGATCCCCTTTTGCAACCTTCTGATAAGCAAAGTCAACGGGGGGGGGGAGCCGGGTTCGCTTAACGAGCACGTTACTAATTTAACCACTGCGGGGATTCACTTCTCAAGAAAGTGGCGAGAAAGCTCATAAAAGGGGGCGAAACTCTCACTTAAAAACTGCCTCACTTAGCAACGGAGATTGGGAACTCAGCTGTGGGCGTAGGTTGAAGACCACGTGTAGAAACTCAGAAAGTGGGCTCACTTAAGAACTGTCCCGCTTAGCAATGGAAATTTGGGACTCAGTTGTGGTCATACGTCGAGAACTACGTGTAGAAACTCAGGAAGTGGGCTCACTTAAGAGCTGCCTCGCTTAACAACGGAGATTGGGAACTCAGCTGTGGGCGTAAGTTGAAGACCACTTGTAGAAATTCAGAAAGTGGGCTCACTTAAGAACTGTCCCACTTAGCGATGGAAATATGGGACTCAGATGTGGTCGTAAGTTGATGACTACGTGTAGAAACTCAGAAAGTGGGCTCACTTAAGAACTGTCCCGCTTAGCGATGGAAATTTAGGACTCAGTTGTGGTTGTACGTCGAGAACTACGTGTAGAAACTCAGAAAGTGGGCTCACTTAAGAACTGTCTCACTTAACAATGGAGATTGGGAACTCAGCTGTGGGCATAAGTTGAAGACCACTTGTAGAAACTCAGAAAGTGGGCTCACTTAAGAACTGTCCCGCTTAGCGATGGAAATTTGGGACTCAGATGTGGTCGTAAGTTGATGACTACGTGTAGAAACTCAGAAAGTGGGCTCACTTAAGAACTGTCCCGCTTAGCGGTGGAAATTTGAAACTCAGTTGTGGTCGTAAGTCAAGGACTACCTCTACACAGGCCGTACGGGATTTTCCAGCGAGGTGAGAGGCACGCAGAAGAAACTGCCTTGATTTACTTCTCAGGGTTTCCGCAAACTTACATAGCTTTCTGTCTTGTGCACTGAAGGACCAGTCGCCAGGCCTTTGTTGACCCTCAGGGACCCTGTCAGAGATGACCCTGAGGCCTCACATGCTGGTCCTTTGATATGCATGGAGGCCATCAGCGTTTTTCCTCCTCTGAAGTGCATGGAGCCCGTCACGGACTTCCCTGCAAAGTTGCTGGCCGGACCTTGGATGTTCAAGGACCCTTTGACTGTGTTTTCTGGGTCCCCGTGAGCTGCTCCATTGACTTGGATGGAACCCTCCAGCATTTTCTCACTGTCTTCGTTTGGCATGGCAGAAACTCCCCGGGGCTTAGTTTTCAACATGTTTCTTTCTTTTTCATGCTGGGATGTTGAGTTTCAAGACTGGGCATTCCCAGGAAGAAATACACACGCCTGCGCACGCAATGCATGCATAATAGAAATAGAAATAGAAATAGAAGAAGGAGAAGGAGAAGGAGAAGGAGAAGGAGAAGGAGAAGGAGGAGAAGAAGAAGAAGAAGAAGAAGAAGAAGAAGAAGAAGAAGAAGAAGAAGAAGAAGAAGAAGAAGAAGAAGAAGAAGAAGAAGAAGAAGAGGAGGAGGAGGAGAGGGGTCTTAAAAAAGAAGTCTTGGGTGCTAGGATCTCTTTTGGGGGTGGGGAAAAGGAGCTATGCCAAGGATAGGCAACCGTGGCTCTTTTATGACTTGCGGACTTCAACTCCGAGAATTCCTCAGCCAGGCACATGCCTGGCTGAGGAATTCTGGGAGTTGAAGTCCACAAGTCACAAAAGGGCCAAGTTTGAAGACCCCTGGTCTACAGGGACAGGACCCCTGCACATTTTTCCCTCCAATCCACAAGAACAAGTAGTTGGTGGAAAACACGTGGGTGCCATCAGCAATTCGATTCTTGCTGGCAAAACTGATCAACCCAAAGGCTGATTGGCAGAGTGGCTCAAAGGCGGGGCAGGAAGGGACCATGATGCACTGCAAAGATGCCCATGTGAATGGACACACTTGGACCTCATCCTATCTGACAAAGGAGAGGAGAGCTACTCCTATCAATTTTGTTCATCCCTTGCCTAACCGAACCCAATCCACTGCTTGGCTTGTCCGATCCTCAGTTACCACAACACTCTGGAGACTTGGATATGATACTTCTTGTGATGTTCCAGGCAGATGTTCTTGCCTTTTGGGGTCATACAGTCCAAGGCAACCTCCCACCAACCTCCATAGGCTCCTAATGGAGCCGGATGGGCCTGGAGCTTGATTGGCTGAAGGTTCTCCTAGGAAAGGTCAGGTCACAATCAGCTCACTGCTTGCCTAATAATCCGTAACCTAATTTTATTCATGGATTCGTATCCTGCTTTTTATTATTTTTACCAATAACTCAAGGCGGCGAATATATCCAACACATCTTTCTTCTCTTCTTTCCCCCACAACAACAACTTTGTGTGGTGGGTTGGGCTGAGAGAAGGCGATTGGCTCAAAGTCACCCAGCTGGTTTTGGTGGCCAAAGCGGGACTAGAACTCACCGTCTCCTGACAACTGGCCCAAAGTCACCCGGCTGGCTTTCACACCTAAGGTGGGACTTGAACTCGCAACCTCCTGCTTTCTAGGCTGGTGCCTTATTGCCACATCAATCACATACTATAGATCCTCAAGAGCTAAACCAAATCAATCGGATCTATTATTTTTCTTTTTAGAGTGACATCTAGCAAGCTCAGGGCTGGCATTTTTGACAGCACTTCCTCTGTTATCCCAAAGGTGCTTTCTTTTCAAAAGCAACTGGACATTCTTGTTTTGCTAGAAGACGTTTCGCTTCTCATCCAGTTTTGCTAGAAGACGTTTCGCTTCTCATCCAGGAGGCTTCCTCGGTTCTGACTGAATGGTGGAGACTCGAAGGATTTATATTGCTTGCACTCACCTGGCCGTTTGCACTTTTTCTGAGAGTCATTGAGGCCGTTTGGAGGTTTATCCGTGCCCTCCAGATGACTTATTTATGATGGTTGCCGTGTCCCGGGGTCGAGTGACCCCCGTTTGCGATCTTCTGACAAACAAAGTTCAATGGAAACGTTGAAATTCACTTCACAACCACGTTAGCAACTGAACAACTGCAGAAGTGTGGCCAAAAAGGTCGTAAAACGGGGGCGCAAAGCTCACAACCAAAGTACCTTGCTTAGCAACGCAAACCTGGGGCCTGACGCCCACCTTAGCAAATAGCTGCCTTGAACTTGTTGGCTTTTGATCTGATTCCTTAGGAAGCAGCTTCTCAATATCAGAAAAACCTTTAGTCTTTATTTTTATTTTTACAAAAATAAGAAATAAATACCAGCAGCCCAGCATTTCCCCCCCCCCCTCCGTTTGAAAGACCCTTTACCTTTTCCAGTTTCTCAAAATGTTCCCGCAAGAACTTCATTGGCCGGTCGGGTTTAGCAATGCAGAGGTTCACAATGCACTCCTTCAAGATTTGCTGGATGTTGTGCTTCTGAACGTAGAGTTCACATCCTTTCAAGCTCTCGTCGTCTTCTCCTCCATTGCAAGAGGAGGAAGCAGCCGCCATCTTGATGAGGGTCAACGGATGACAACTCTGTCTGAGGAGGAGGAGGAGGAGGTGGGATGTGAGAAGAGGGATGACATCCATCTCCTCCGATGGAAAAGCCGCCCACCCACCCCCCTTCCAGCTCTTTGAAATCCTCTGGAACACATCATGCATGATCTCCCTCCCCCAAAGCGCTGGAACACCAAAGCGGTCACATCGCAAATGCTCCGTGGGTTACAAACCTCTTTCTCAGAGGCTTGCTAAAAAATGCAGCTTATTCAAGCCTCTCTCATTCCTGCAGCCTGGGAGCCCCAAGCCCACAGCTTTTGCAGGCATCACCCCTCCTGCGAGATGGATTTGCCACTGAAAATTGGAGAACATAATAGGGGCTCATAGAAATTGGATTTTTTTCCCCCTGCTTTGAGGCCTCAAAATCTACCCTCTGGTTCAAACTGCTGGACGGTCATCATAATCGTAGCAAAATTTATGCGTATCCCCATGCTTCACTTGGTGGGCAGATCCAGCCCCCAGATCTGTTGTAGTGTTACCTCCCGAAAAAACACGGTTATTTCAATGGGAAGGAAGCCATCTCTTCCTCACTGGGGCCAGCAAGCTGAATTTCTTATGTGGGTTTCTACCGATGCTTTCTACCTTTTTTGCGATGTTTCGGACGGCAAGCCGGTCCAAAACAGAAAGGTTTTGTGACACCCCCTGGACTTGGCGAGAGAGGAAAAGCAGATTCCCCAACCTTGTCAGTGCATGGATTTGGAATCCAAGATTCCAAAGGCTTTCAGCTCACAGGGACTCTGTCTTTGGAAGATGGTCAAGGCTCCTGGAAAAAAAAAAAAAAACCAAACACATCTTCCCCAGTCAGCCTTCCACTGAATCTTAGCGGGCAGGATAAATTTTTCGACTCAATTCTCTCCAGGGTTTTCTGCTGTCTTCAGAATGAGGAGATTCCTGTTTCGTTTTTGCTTTGCTTTGTTTTGTTGTTGTTGTTGTTTTTGCCAAAACAAAAAACAAGCACCTTTTTCTCAAAAGAGCAACCCAGGATTGTCCAGCCTGATTATTATTATTATTATATTATTTTGAAATGGCAGGGCAAGGAATCTTCCCCACGCTTGCCTTTGTCCCTTCTTAACTGCATGGAAAGGGAAGAAAAACCCTCAAATCTTCCCCGCTGTAAACCGTTGGTCCTTTCCCTCCATCAGCAACAGCTCTTTTGTGCAGAATTAAATCTGAGCCATTGTTGCTGGGAGAAGGAGGGAATGAGGATGGAGAGAGAGAGCATGCAAATATACACAAAGGAGAGGGCTGGGGCAGGAGGTAAGGGCAGGCTTGGGTGGCAGGGAGTATATAAATACCTGATATTTGGCTCAGCCAGCAGTTTCTTTCAGTTCCCCCGTTATTCGCAGTAGAAATCTCTTCCAGCTGCCTGATAGCTTGAGGTGGGGGGCACTTCCGTCTCCCCACAATGTTCTGGGTATCTTCTGGGGGGGGGGAATCCCCAGCTAAAAGACAATGGAGTCAGGCAGTCACCCCCGTCCTTAGATGATCTCACTGTCTATTTTTCCCCCAACTCCCACTCTGAATGTGTGTTCCCCCCCCTTTGCACACAAAGCGTTAAAAGTCTCTAGCTCCAACATCCATTCCCTGCGCAGGAAGTTGCCCCCGTCATACCAAGCTCAGCCTCTCTCTCTCTCTCTCTCTCTCTCTCTCTCTCTCTCTCTCTCTCTCTTTTTTTTTTTTTTTTTTTCCTGCAGGGAGAAAATAAACTCAAGCTGGAAAGGAATCAGCTCTAAGCTTGGTTTTGGATGAGGTCCAGTTAGGGATTCCCAACTGAGGAAAAATCTCATCCTTTGAAGGGGTGGACTGAAGGTCCAAGGTAGGCAGGGAAGCGATGGACAATTTTTTTTTCCAAATGAAAGAACTGGTTTTGCTTGGAGTGTCCCTGTAATATGTAACGCCAGTTAAATTATCAAAAAAAATATGTCTAAGTGAATATCAAAGGGTGAAAAGGAAGAAGGGACTTTTTAATCATACACAGGGAAAAATCAAAGCAAATTCATACAGTGGCACAGAAGATATTACAGACAGATGTCATGATTTAAGCAGAATTATTCTTACTGGGATTTAGGGACAAGGAATTAGAAAATAAATCTGGGGAATTAATGCTGTACGTCGTAATTGAGGTAAGATTATTGTATGCATAAAAAATGGAAAAGGAGTGAAATGACTAAAGTGGAAGATTAAAAAAATTAACTGAGTTTGGATAATGGCAGAGCTGAACTGTTTGACTTTTTTAAAAAAGACTGGAACCTTGAAATACACTTTTTGGCATTGTATTCAAATAATAACATAAAAATAACTGAATAGACTGCTTGCAATCCTTACGGGTGTCCTATTGAGTAATACTGTATCCAGTAATTTATTCATGGATACAGTTCTAAAAATATAACTTTGTTTAAAATAAAAGGATAATAAATAATAAAATAAGCAGAATGCTTCTGATGCAGTTCTTGAAAGAGATACGAATGTATCTATCTTTGTAAATGTTGTATCGTCAAAGTTCTTTTGAAAAAAACACGGGTATTTTACATTACATATGCTGCCAAAGAATACATTTCCAATCCATAAACAGAGTCATCCATATGGACAGCGTGCTAATTCTAATTTTTTAAAGAAAAAAATGCCATTCCAACACCACACAAAAGCAGGGTGAAAGGAGGCCCTTTTTTGCGAACAATTTTGGGAATTTGGTGATTTGAATTGAACACAGCATGTTAAGTAAGCTGCTTTATCTTTTTTTTTTTTTTTTTACTTCGTTTCATTTTACTTTACCTTTTTTTATTTGTCTGGTTGCAAGCAAAACTGAGGAGCAAATTCCTCAAAAATTACCAACGGGGATAGAAATGGATACAGGTAGTCCTACAATAGGCGGTATACATATTTTAAAAAAAAAAAAAAGTTCATCTCCCAGAGAATTCTGGGAGTTGAAGTCCCCCGCCCGTGAGGCAGAAGCTCGCCCGGCCTTCCGGCGCGGCCGTCAAGCACGGCCGTCAAGCGCGGCGCCTGCCGCAAAAGCGCCGCGCGGGGCCTTGGCAACGGCCCGGCGGCCTAGCAACGGCGTGCCTTCCAAGCAGCATGGCCGAGGCTGGCGAAGAGGGCCGCGGCCCGGCGGCGGCCGAGTTCGGTCCGGCGGTGTCGCGGCACCTGGCCGGGCTGCAGGAGGAGTCCCGGGCGGCGCGGCTGCGGGCGCTGGGCGCGCTGCGGGCCTTGATGGCGGAGGGGCCCCCGGCGGCGGTGCGCGAGGTCTTCGGGCCGGCGCTGCTGCGGCCGCTGGCGCGCTGCCTGGTGGGCGACCCGGCCGAGCGGTGCCGCGAGCTGGCGCTGGAGCTGCTGAGGCTGGGGCTGGGGCAGGGCGCGCAGCCGGCCGAGGCGCTGCCCGTGCTGATGCCGGCGCTGGCCCAGCGGCTCGGGCTGCCCCAGGGCCCCGGCGAGGCCTGCGAGGAGCTGCGCCTCGGGCTGCTGCAGTTGCTCACCGAGCTGCTCCGCCGCTGCGACCGGACCGCCCTGGCGCCCTTCCTGCCCGAGACCGTGGCCGTCCTGCGCGCAGCCCTGCTCGACCCCTTCCCGCCCGCCACGCGCCAGGGGTGCCAGGGGTGCCAGGCTGCCGCCGCCGCCCTGCCAGGTGGGCCCCGTCGCACCTC